CCAGAAAAGAAGATCCAGGTTGTTGTTTGTATTAAGCTGTTTTCTAATTTGGAAAAGGTGTTGTCTGGTAATATGAGTCTTTTGATTGATAGGTTTGTGCGTGTGAGTTGCTTCGATGGTTTTCAGAAGCTGTACCACCAAGGGGTCAGAGCAGGTTTGTGATCAGTCGTGTTGATTTCTGGTGTGATGAAATTTTAGTGCTGAAAGGTAGGTTGTGATGGTTGGTAGTACAACGTTTTTGTGGAAGAAGGAGATGTATTCGATTAATGATTTAGTTGAAATCGGCCAAACTGATCCATCATTGTTGATCCATTGATTGGATGCAGCAAGAGTCTCGTAACGTTTGATTATTGCTTCATATGATCTGTTGGGAGGATTATTGATATTGAGAATTAGTGCTGCTTGTTTGTCAAGGGCAGGCCGAGTTGTGAAGTGGTTGGAGTTGTTAGTGCGAGGTTGAAAGGGGATCGTGGAGACTGGGAGTTGAATATTGGATGCTATTGTTTGAGAGAAGGGATGAAAGAGATTAGATTTTTGTACAAGTCAAAAATGTCAGGGTGGATATAACGGGATTGAGGATTGTCTTTGATGAATTCTCGGTGACCGTTGCAGAAAAGTAGATCAGCGTTAGTATTTTGGATGCCTGGAATGTGCTCAAGTTTTATGGCACAGTTTTTCTGTACTTGTATGTTGTACAGTTGTGCTATCAGCTCGTTGATGTCTGAATTTCTGCAATAACCGGAGTAGTACGCTTCAGCATTTTGTAGGTTGTCTGTCTAGATTATGAGTTTCCTTCTCTCCCAGAGGGGAGTGAAAATGCGCACCGCGATTAAGGTGGTTAGGAGTTCTTGAAATTGAATGTTTATTTCGTTTAGATCAATCTCCCTTGACCAGGAGAAGGCAGTGAAAAAATCCGGTATACCGTGCCCCCTCCTATGTTCAAAGCGTCTGTAAAGAGATTCAGAGTATTAGGGTGCCTCCATTCTATGTCTTGCAGAAGGTGTATTCCTGACCAGTTATTGATAGTAGCTAGCCACCACTGAAAATCGGCTTGCATAGGTCTGGTTATTTGGATATGGGCTTTGGGGTTGTTGGAGATGGTTTGTGCTTTTATGAGTCTTTGAACAAATGGACGCCCTTGTGGGATTATTTGGCATATCTATACAAGGGACCCTACGATCGATTGAAGTTCTTTACTAAAACACCATTTTTTAACTAGCCATTGGTTTATCAGAATTACAAGTTTTTCTCTTTTATCAGGAGGTATTGAAGCCATCATAGCTTCTGTGTCTAAAGTTATTCCCAAAAACGTAACCTTTGTGCCAGGGCCCTCCATTTTTTTTTGTTTGTAAGGTATGTTAAGAATGTTAAGGATTCGTGTAAACTGATTGAGCTCACGTGATCCATCTGATGAAGAGATGAGAAGGAAGTCATCTACATAGTGAATTGCCGCCGGGATGCCTTGTTGATTTGCTATCCATGTGATTACGTCAGCGAAATGGCAGAAAATTCCACCTGAAGCCCAGTTGCCGAAAGCTAGGACTTTGTCGAAGTAAATCTCGTTTTCGATGCTAACTCCTTGTAAAATTTGGTTGATGGGGTGAACTAGGAGGATTCGATAAGCATCTTTTATGTCTACTTTAAATAAAGTACACCCTTTCCTGAAATGATTAATCCAGCGAATCGCATGGTTTATGTTTTCGTATTTTGTAGCGAATTCGAGCTTGTCTATTCTATCATTTATGCTGTTGTCTGGTGGCGAAGAAAGGTGAGAAATGACACGATAAGCTGTAGGATTGGTGTGTTTCTTTTCAACAAGGCCACATGGGTTGGTCTGAAAAAAATCACAGGGTGGGTTGTTCTCATGGAAGGGCCCGCACATGCGGCTGTTTTTAAATTCATTGGCAATATATGAAGCGAAAGCTTCAGGGGCAGTATTAATAGAGGGCAGGTTTCCTTGGATTAGCTTTGTTCGGTTGCCTTTGAAGTTGAATCAGAAACTATGTCTTATGCCTTTGATTATAGATTCAATGAAGGGCCGATTGGGATGTGTGTCTGTAAGTATTCGTAGGGCTTTGAGATTGATAGGTAATTGAACGTTGAAGTGCTGTGGATTGAGTTGTGTTAGTAATCTCATTTCAATGTCTGTTATAGGAATTTCTGAGGGCGGAATTGTTTGAAGTGTCTCATTTACGGACTGTAAAACTGGTGGACCGGATGCTGTGATGTGATGAGATAGGTTGAATTGGGCTGTGTGAATACCCTGACCGGACGCTGTCGCTGTATAGATTAACGATATTGGGGTAAGTATATGTAATGTAAATTGTGTTTGTCAAAGATCATTGTGTGCTTTTTCTTCTTTGATTTTTTTTTTTTTTTGAGTGCTGTTTGGTCGTATTCGTTCTTATGTGATCTATGATCATTTGCTTCTTGATGCTGGAATGACTCCTGCACTCCTTTCTCTCTTTCTCTTTTCTCTTTTTTTTTTTTTTTTTTTTTTTTTTTTTTATGCCATCAGTGTTATTTACTTGAATATTTGTATGTGTGAGCAATGATAGTGTGAAATTTTTATATAAAATTGAAATTTCTTTGATTGAGCATGGGTTCGTAGTGCAGCGTTTGGTCATACAGCGTATATATCGATATTGTTATGCCTATGTATGTATGTATTCATTATACTTGTGTTTGAATGTGCTTATGCCATCTTTTTTCTTGTCCTTCATCATACGTTTCTCTCGTTTTTCCACTTATTATCATTATTATCATTCTTGTTATTTTTTTATTTTTATTTTTTTTTTGTTATTATTGCTTGTTTTTTCTTTTTTTTTTTTTTTGTAGTTTTAATTTAATAATATTTATTATTTTTTTTTTTTTGGTATGCATGTGTACGTGGAGATGGCCGGCATGATTGCTTCGATGGATTATTCCTTGTGAAGCACTTATTTATTCGTGCTTGGTTGTCTGGGTGCTTGGGTGAACTAGGCTTGTTGTGATAACACCTTCGTTCGGTGTGGCCGATTCTTTTGCATGTCAAACAGGCGTGCACTCGTTTGCAATTGTTCTCTTCAGAACATCCTCTACGATTCCAATTGATGCAGATCTGTCTGCCATCGTGCCATGCGATGTCGTTTTTGAAAATATGAGTCGTGGTGTAATTCCGGTGTCTTTTTGTTGTGATAACATCGAAGTTGTCTCTTTCTGCTTCTATGTTCCGGTCGAGTAAGGTTGAATCTCTGTTTGTGGTAACAAAAAGCCTACGATCTTTGTCATATACTGCTACAGCATCGAATTCGTGTTTTACACACAGAGCGTTAATGTGATCACGGTATGCATTTAGTTCATTTTCTCTGATGTCATAAATGATCAATACAGCCTCCATGTATGCTCTAAAAGTGAGAAGCCAATCAGCTATATCGGTGAATTTCTGGTGGCGACTGCGTTTCTTGACCGTGATGATTCTGCCTTCAGCAGTTTGTAAGGTTTGTTCGTTATCATTGTTTTTTAGGTTAGCCTTGAGTGTTTTGTGTGTAAATTCATGCAGGTCGGCGTAATTCCCAGTGGCAACTGTTTTCCACAATCGTGAAGGAAGGCTGGGTTTGTTAGGTAGCATTTCGATTGCTTTCTGACCCTCATACTAGTTGAGAATCCACCAAAGACGAATTTGTTCTATACTTGTTGCATGTGGGTTGTTAAAACCACAGACTGGGGAAGATCAATGGAGCTATAGTCGAAAGATGGGTATCTTCGTGTAGTTACTTTGACCTTCAGAATACCGTTTGTAGTGAAGGTGGTGTGTGCAGCTTCTTGGGTTGCACCGTGTGAATTGGAGCTAATTATGAGGTTATTGAGAATTGGAGTTAAAGGACAATTACTTTGTTGGTTTGTATTATGAGTGTTATTATTTTTTTCGTGTTGTGCTAAATTGAATTCGTGGTTATGAGTTAGCGGCGCAATGTTGCTATGTTGAAGATTAGTATTGCTGGGTTGTGAAGTTTGCTCTTTGTTGTTAAGTTGATTGAAGCATAAGTCTAGTCGTTCGTTTAATTTGTTAATCAAGTTTGTTTGTGTTGCCATATTTTGATCAATATAAGCTTTAATGGTTGAGATTATCATATTTGCCGATTCTTGGCATGTGTTGTCTATGTACGCTCTCGTGTTACTATCAATTTGAGTTAGATCTATGATGGTAGGTAAACGATTGAATGAATCATTGTCAGAAGGCTGGTTATTGCTTGAGTGGTCACTGTTTTTGTTCATGATTAAGGAAGCAACTAGCAGAAGAAAGTTTGGGTTGGAGGTTGTTGCTTGGAGGTTGTTACTTGGTAAATTGTTGGGTATTTATCTGTAGGCCGGTAGTGCGTTGAGTGGGTGGTGATGTCTCTGATTGGCTACGATCATATCATGTGTGTGGTGCCTGTGTGGCACGAATATATCATGCTGCGTTTGTGGCTTTGGTTGTACAATGACGTTCTGCCCCTTTTTTCGAATAGTTGACTTTTGTCAACTCATATTCTTGTCAACCAATAAGTCTTAACAAGAAATTTAAAGAAGGCACCAAATATAAATTAGACGTTATAATAAACATATTTCGAAAGTTTTTCAATATATCCATATTTTTGAAAGTGCTTGAGAACCTGATTTATAAAGAACCGCTAACACCTAAATGTTTGGTAATTTTTCGAACTGATAAACTTACTAATTTATTTGCCGCGAAGTGCTTTGAAAATGGATTCAACTGGAGATGTTCTTATAATATTTATATTAGCCACTGATCTTAAATTATGCCGAAATTGATAACTTAACTGAATTGGCCGAAAAGTCATTCGGCTAGTTTTTTGTCCAAACTTTCAAACAACCCGAACCAAGCTTGAAGTTTGATATTCAGATCCGAATCAAACTCGGTTATAAAAATAGTTTGGGTTCGAGTTTGGTCTGAATTCAACCTAAACCAAACTTGGTTAAAGTTCGATCCGGTTCGGGTTCGTCGGGAGCCTACATTTGGGTAAAATTAGATGTTATATTGTAGACTAAAATTAGATTAGAACTAAAAATAAGGTTTTTTTTGGATGCTGAACGTTTTTATTTAATACATCCAGTCTTGGTTATTTACAGTTTTTGAACACCACTGGTGTAATATACCGAACGAAAAATATATTAAATTTATAAATAAATAAATTGATTTATTTTTAAAGAAATTATACGTATCGATTTAATAATTTTATTAATAAAAAATATATGCGATTTGCTGTCCCCCACTGTAGTATTTCTGCCGAGACTAGTCTATTCACTAATTCTATTAATTGTATTATAGCTGAAATTCAGTCCCTAAAGGTCCTTATCAAACACTTGGAAGCTGCTACTTCCCGTCTCGAAATTAACCTACTGAACCTTCTACTATATTGAACCAAAATTTCTGTCTCTCTTGATACTTATGATGAATTCATTGAAGGTTTTTTAAATAAGTTTATTGAACTTTCTAAATGTATTGGTGGCATTGTACAAGATTAGCTACGCTTTTTTAATCATTTTAATACTAAACTGTTAAAATGTACAATGCTGAAATTCGAATGTGCAGATCCAATCAAGGATTTGCATATTCGAATTTTAAACATTGTAGTAATTTAATTGGTATCGAGTGTCAGTAACATGAATATCAGTGATTAGTATTCTAGTACATAGGATCCCGGATAATACTAATAAAGTTAAGAATTAAGTTCTAATAATAAAATTTTAAGCAATTTGTCCATTTCAAGAATCTTGATAAGTCTTGTACGTACCTTATATATAAATTAAATATATAAATTATAAATCAAAAATACAAAATTTCAAATCGAAATAGACAAATCAAGTTTTTAAAGTGAACATAACTCTTAGCTTTATTATCGGATCTATATACTCTAGAAATGGCGAAAAAAAAAAAATAATAATTCATGCGGAGATTCTACAATCGCATCCTGATTGGATGGAATCCAAATTAATTTTTTTGAAACTATTATTGGGGACAGCCACCTATCTAAAAATTAATAAAGTTTTTTCATTTCAATTCTAGAAAATTATATAATCAAAATAAAAAAAATTTTATCGTTTTTAGATAAATGTTAGGATTCTTAAAATTTTGAAAAAACTTGGGTGACAATCAAAATATAGTAGACTGAAGCATTGTTTCTAAACTTTGAGCAAAGATATCTCAACAATCACCTAAGATTGAATTATAGAATTGAAATAAAAAAAAAATTCTCGTTTGGTGCACGGCATCTGTAGTACGTATATGTATTCCTTTTTATCATTTGTATTCGAATCTATACGTATCGATATAAATTGTTATACGTATTCAGTAGGCGATAAAAATAATTCAATTTGCGCATAATCACGTGAACAAATAAATACGATACGTTTTATGTTCTTTTTTTAAATTGAATTTGAATATTTTGCTACCTCCTGTTTCAATCATAAATATTATACAATTATCGACTTTAATTCGACACAAATCCCAAATTTACCCATACAACGTATGTGCTCTTTAAATGCACATTTGAATTAGTTTCGCACATGATCTCGAGAGAAGTATCGGTACTAATACTAAATAAATCTATATAGTATCATTTAGCAAAAAATTTTTAACTATAATCAGTAAAACATATAGAGTTTTTATAATACAAATCCATCCATTTTATTAGATGAATAGGTTTCTTAATTATGTTTTTTGCAATTTATATAACAAAAGTATATGAATTATATAGAAATTATATAAATTTAAAAAATTATTTTCCTTTGATGTTAAGGGAACCCCGCCCGTATCAAATAAAAAAAAAAACCCAGTTATCATTATTAAATCTATAAATGCTAAAATATTTAAAATATATAAAATGTGATAATATAAACTAAATAATACAAACAGGTTACATCTGTATAAAAATAAAATAAAATAAAATAAATGATAGAACCAGCTTCCAGATACCTACTATACAAATCTAACTAAAATCTACTTCTATGATATTGGTCCAATGTACTTTGGAAAGGATCCTGATCCACCCTTAATACTACTTCACCACCATCATCATCATATTGTAATAAACGATGTCTTCGGTAACAATAGAAAAATGATGCTAGAGCACCTATGAGACAAATAGTAGCAACGAGGGAAACGCCTATCACTAGACCTGATGAGCTTCCTCCGTCATCGGAAGAAACACCATTATTTGAACCAGCGGGAAGATTCGGATTGTGGGCAGCCGGAATTGAAGGATAAACAGTAGATATACTCGTTATTGTAATAACCTGACGAGATGCTAATGATGATGATGATTTTGGTGTTGGTGAGGGTGATGGTGATGATGATGATGATGGTGGTACTGTTGTTGCTGCAACAAGATTTTGAGTGGCAACAAAAGTAATATTTGCTGTAGGCTGCGAAATATTTTGGTCAGATGAAGGAGCAGTAGTAGGTAAGTTAGAAGTAACAGATTGTATATTCCGGGTTATTGACGGTGTTATCTGAGTTGAGTTATCTTGCGCAAATACGGACAATTTTTCATCATGTAGAATGAAGAACAGAGTAAATGAGAACAGCAAAAAAACTATTGATGACCTCATGAACGTATTTTATTATAGATTAAAAGAGGAATATAATTAAGAAAGCTATGCCTTAACGAGTTTAAAAATTTATTTGAATAGGCCTTCAAATTTTCAAACAAATGCTTACAGATGGGTCGACTGAATTAAGAATAAGGAAGGATGTTAAGGGGGTTAAACGTTTCAGAAAGATAAAATACGAACACGATAACTAAGAAAAGCATAATTCACTTGACAAGCAGAGAAATTATCGACATACCTTTAATTTGAATATAAATGAATGAATCATCATCGCCCAAGATACTTGTAAGGAAGAAAGTGTGAAACTAAGATAACTCCCGATTTCTGGAAATTAAGCGAGTTTTAAATTGATTAAATTGATGTTGACCAAATTGAGGTATGAAAATGCATCTGATCGATGAGTTTCACAAATTACGATTTGCTAAAAACAGTAACAGTGCGGCTTCGTCAATAATGTTTGCTATTAGATAAACAGCGATAGGTATGAATAGTAATAGAGTAGACTGTTTACTATCTAGCAATTCTCCTAACTATCAAACATTTAGTGTACTCTCCCAAAGGGTTTATTGTGACGTTTATTGACCATGTTTTCTCTTTTTACAACGTCCAGATTCCTTTAATTTGATACGTAGTTACAGAATATAAATAATGAACACAAAATTAATAATGTAAACAATTTCATTGTGCTCTGTATCATTCTATGTTCAACACTACTGCCTATCCAGGGCGACCCTCAATACGAATTTAGAAATATTGTAAATTAATGCTATTTCCATTTATTTTAAAATCACTTTTTGGTAAGTAATGAACACATGTTGCAAAAAGGCATCTAATATGCACGTACGTACGTACGTACGTACAGTATCAGGTATGCACATACGTACGTACGTACGTACGTGTATCGTAAAGTGCTGCATTTATTACCCCTAGAAAAATACTCCTCTCCAAATTAATTCTTCGTCTAACATACAATAAAAATGAACCATAAGAGTGGGAAGGGAGAGCATAAAAAAAAAAACAAATTAAAAAATATAGTAATTCTGTTAGCTGCAAAAAATTACTGCAATTGGATTGTTAATGTGGTGTGTTTTTTTTTTAATCAAAAAAATAGGGGGTTAAACGTAGAATTAAATTGGTCTAGCATAAGACCCGAGTACACCATCGAAACTTCTGACATGAAATGAACCTATCAATTCAAAATGTTGCCGGGTATTGGATATAGCGTTTTAAGGTAGGTATTATCAATTCCTTATTATGACTTAACTGCTATATTATTCAAAAGTTTCAGAGTCTCGAACAGAGAGTACTTTATGACATCCCAGGATAATGAATTGGACCGTTGGAAATGTGATATGGTATCGGCAAAACGTTCCTATACACAAACGAAGAATTATGTTTTCCAACCTATAACTAATTACGATAATATGTCTGCTCCTATAATCGTTAAAACCTGAAACGACTGGCAAATTGATAACACATAAATTTACCTTTTTCAAAAGATTAAAATTTCTAACTGTCGAATCATATAAAACTTTTGGAATTTTGTAAAATGAATAGAAAAATACGAATTTAAATTTATGTCGGCCAACCCGGCACATGCCAAGCTTGTTACACCATAATTAATAAATGAATTGCAGAAATTGCTGCATTGTAAAATACGAATGGTATAATAGATACAGTATACTTTATGTACTTTATGCTTATGCTTTGATAATGCTTACGCTCCTATAATCGAAACGATTATTATAGGCATTTACATAAATTTCAAAAGTGATGAAAGATTCAATTTATACATTATTTAGTCTTCTAATGAATTAATAAACCAAATCTCAGTATATAGAGACATGATCATCGTGTAACAAATTTCAAATCAAGTCATGTGAAATAAAAAAACATATATATTTGATATTTTTCATGGGATATGCAATTGTGTACGTAAACATGTTTACTTTGCATAATTTCAGGGTCTCCACCGCGTCCGTGGCAGAAAGAGTGTCAACACTTGACTGTCTCGAAGAAACTTTTGCTGAACTCTCAAATTCTTTTACAACATTACATCAAAATTTTCAAGGCATTAAACAAGTTCATGAATCTTTAAATGACTTCAATAAATCATTTTCAGGGTTTTTATATGGAATTAAAATGAATGCACATTGTATAGAGTTTTCTGAGGTAACTTTTCATTAATTTTTATCAGTTGTTAATTTCATTAAATTTATTTATTTACTTTCTTATAGGCTCCAACGAAAGAAACGTTTACTAGTTTTATTCAAAAGCGTGAAGGTATTGTATAATTTAAAATATTTATTGATGTTCTTTAAATTATTATATAAATTAAATCATTTTCATTTATTTCATTTGATTTTAGCTGTTTTGTTGAAAGAAAATAAATCTACACCAATTGCAACACCAGTTCGTAGAATCAAAACTCCAACTCCCGTTAGTAGAATCAGAACTCCAGCGCAACCACCTCCACCAAAGAAAAAGAAAATAAATAAGGCTTTAGTTATCAAAGTATTTATATCACGTGTTTACGCGGTATGGTGAGGATTCGGGTCCCGAAGCTGATCTACGTAAATTTTATAGACATTGATCAAGAAAATTGTCGATAGTTTACCACCAAAATATCGTGATCAACACGTAAATATTAAAATTTTGTTGACTTTATAATTCGGTTTATTTAGAATATTAATCTTATATACAATCTAAATTATAATAGCAAGCAAATCGTAAAAACGTGGAAATGATTCTTAGACTTTTATTTGAAAATCCATCGGAGGGAAAGTATGTATCCATTTAAGGAATAAGCATTAAACTCTAAATTATTTTTAAAAAAAAATTTTTTTCACCTGTTATAGGTATATTCAAGATATTGTTAAATGCACTGAACTAGCACGTGGTCGATGTATTGAATACCTTAATGTACTTATCAATAACGAATATGCAGTAAAATTAAGTCATAAAGGTATTTTATACAAGCTTAGGGATGATAAAATTAATTTAGGTTTTTAAGACCTGTAAGTTCTAAAATTAAACATTTAAGAGCCAGGCTTTTATATAATCAGTTCCAAATTCAAGTTAAACCTGTACCAAAATTTAAAAACCTAGTTCTCGATTTTTTGTAAGACATACAAATAAAAATGTATTAATAAAAATTTACCTTGTATCAAGCTTTTAAAAATATTTTTTTTTTAATCTTTTGCATAATTTTACTGCACTTAATATGCTAATATTGATTTATTTAATATAAATTTGATTTTTTCTAAGGCCATGCAAAATTAACTGGTTTCATAACCCGGCCAGATCAAAATTTGAAAACTTGCAAAAATAAAATTTATGTTTTACAGCTGTTATCATTATTCCTGAGACACTTTATGAAAAATTAACCGCATGATTATGCTGCCGATTCAATAAGTATTGATTTCGGCATGATCAATGTAACGTTTATTATTGACAGAGATAGGTATCAATAGGGATGTTATAGTCCCAAAAATAACTGTTTAGGACTGGTTTGAGCAACGGTCCTGGTTAAATACGGTCCAAGTTCAAATTCGGTTCTAAAAAAACGGTCCATAACTAATAAATCTAATCAATGATAAAATCATTGATTTAAAAGTTAATTTAAGTTAATTACGTATTTTTTGATGCAATTAATTATAAAAAGCTCCAAAATAAAATATTAATTTAATTTCAATCTCTTAAAATGATTTTACGTATGATATTATAATTTTATTGAGAACGTATGATATTATAATTTTATTGAGAAAGTTTATTTGAAACACAAATACTGATATTGAAACACAAATTCAAGAAAATAATCCAAATTTAGATCAAGCTAACTTAATGAATATAAATAGTTCTATTACTGTTTGAGACTATTATGATACTGAATTACATAACTATCCTAAACAACTAGTTTGTAAAAGATTGTGGTCAAGCTTTTTCAACAAAAATGGGAACATCCTCTTTATGTTGACATCTTAATGATCAACATAATATTAATATTCCAGTAAAACCATCAAAAAAATGTAATCTTATCTAATATAAACCTTATAAAGGAAAAGAAAAACTTGATTGTGATAATTTGTTAATTACCTGGCTTATGGTGGATCAGCAACCTTTTTCAATCATTAATAATTCTTATTTTATAAATTGGATTAAAAAGCTTAATCCTTCTTATACTATTTCAACACAACAGACAATAAAGCAAATAACAATAGATGAATTTAATTATCAATAAGAAAATATTCACTATAACATTGCAAACATCACTGGAAAAGTTTATTAACTGCAGATATATGATCAGATCTTAATAAAGAATCATTTTTAGGATTAATAATTTATTATCTTGATGATAATTAGAATTTTTGTAGATTTTATTAGATATTATTCTATTTAAAATTTGTCATACAGAAATTAATATAGCCTAAGCAATTACTAATATATTACAAGAATTTAATCTTTATAATAAATGTATAACTCTTACTACAGATAATACATTATCAATAGTTGCAATGTAGTTGTATTTTAGCTACTGAAATTGAATAAGAATTTGAAAATTTGGTATTTTTTCACTATTGATATGCTAGATATATATTAAATCTTGCTATCAAATAAGGTCTTGAATTAGTTTCTTGTTCAATAGAAAAAATTTAAAGCTTGATAATTAAAATTAAAAATTTAATATTATTAAGTACAGAATTAAAAAGTTTATATAATATTAAAAAATTAAATATTTGAAATCTGAAGTAAATATAAAAACCTGTTGGAATAAAATATAAAAAAATATGAAAAATAGAGGTTGCATTATTATTATTATCAATATCGTATCTAGAAATTAAAGAATTACTTTCTAACAATGCTGATAAAAAACAAATTCAAATATTTAGTAATTATTATTACTGTATATAATACTGTATATAGCCCATATTATGGCAATGTGGTCATCCCAACATCGTATGGACAATATAATACCTTTATCACTACAAATTAACTGGAATGCAACCTGGCTTTATTTAAATAACAACTACAAAAGGTCAACTACTTATACCAATTTCAAACTATGCCAACAAAAAACATTCAAAATCAAGCTTATGCTAGATATACTTCCTACTTTAATACATCAACACACACTATACCCATCAACAATCCCAAATAACAACTGTATAACATGTGGAGCTCGAGAAAGTCAAAAACACTGGCTTATCTGTCCAGACACATCCACAATAAATACACTTATTACTAGTACTATACAGCAATTTCTTCACAACTCAAATATGGATATCACTAATACCCAGCTACTAGAACTATATAATACACTTACAAATCACCAATGTTTTTCACTCAACAACCAACATAACAACATCCACCTTCAGCAGATTTTAAATACCATTCAAATGCCTTCTTTTCGTCTTTAGAAACACCCATAGCTTTACCGTAACAAAGCCCAACCGCATAATATCCTTTGGGATCCTCACTTTTGGCACATTTCAAAAACCATTCAAATGACTTCTTTTCATCTTTAGAAATGCCTATACCTTCACTATATAACATTCCTACTCCATATTGTCCACTAGAATTTCCACCTTGGGCGGATTTTAAAAGCCATTCGAATGCCTTCTTTTCATTTTTAGAAATACCTGTGCCATTTAGGTAACAATTTCCAACATTTAATTGTCCATCGGAATGACCGCCTTCAGCAGATTTTAAATACCATTCAAATGCCCTCTTTTTATCTTTAGAAATATATACACCTTCGTCATAGTAAGTTCCAACTTCAAATTGACCATCAACATTTCCATTTTTAGCAGATTTTAAATACCATTCAAATGCTTTTTTTTCATCTTTAGAAACTCCTAAACCACTTCGATAACAATTCCCAACTTCAAATTGTCCTTTAGAATCTCCACATTTGGCAGATTTTAAAAACCATTCGAATGCTTTCTTTTCATCTTTACAAGTTCCTATACCTTCACTATAAAATAATCCCATTGCATATTGTCCATTAGAATCTCCACCTTCGGCGGATTTTAAATACCATTCAAATAATGCATCTTTGGAAATTCCTATGTCATTAAGTCGTTCTAGGAAATCTCCATTTTCTGCAGAATTTAAAATTTGCTTATTCATCTTTTTTTTAATTTGAAAGTTTGAGAGAAAATACGTTGTTTTGTGGCTGATAAAAGTTCTCATGAATTACGTAATTTATTACAATGATTATCTTTCGGATTATTCCAAATTGGTTTACTCGTTATGAAAATCTGTCCATTATTGGCTAATAAATGTTACACGACAATTTATTACACGACTATATTCCACGAGTATTTATTACACGAGTATTTATACATTTTGGTATTAGTGTCAATAAAGCTCCGATCCTATTCTTCAGAATGAATTTTACTCGTTTGTTGATAGTAACGGTAATGCTAGTATCATTATCTTATATTTTGACAATATGTAAAACATGTAATGAAAATATTTACAAAACTCATTGAAAATATAGGTTAATTTAAGAGGAATTTACAAAAAAAGGCCCGGGAAGTGAAAATAATTACAAATACATGCCCAAATTAATAATACTTTATATAAAGACCTAATTTTTAAAAAATATTACATACAGTATAAGGGCTCAAAATAGCTGCGGCTTGATTAAGCCTGGATCATTATTAGCATAAGAAATGTAAGCATCGATAAATGTAGTTATTAAACGCATAAAAAATGTAACGGTCGATTGTAAATTAGTAATTTTTTTTTTTTTTTTTTTTTTTAAGGTGAAGTTTTGCCTTTATCTTTATTAATATTTTGTATTGAGAATCCACTATGGG